ATATAAAATAATAGTAAATAATAGTAAATAATTAAAAAAGTAAAACAAAATCAATCACATGACATTCAATCACTTTTCTTGGTCGGAAAGACTTGCCTTATAACAGTCTAAGTCAGCAGAGATTTCAATGTTACCTTTTGAAAGTACCTTTTGGAAAGGGATGTGTGTAAAAAACATTCTGATGTATTGAGACACCATTTTAAGAGCAGGCATCTCACAGAAGTTGGTTTTCTTTTTCTGGTCTATTTCACACCAAGGGACGATGACGTCAGCTCTAATACGTTGAGGATACACCCATTCCTCATAAGCGGGTTTGACAAACTTTTTGTATTGAAAAAGAATTGAGTCGAGTGTTCTTCCTCGGAACTTCATGTCTCTTAAAATTCTTCTTCCGAGTCTGGTGTCGTCGTCAGACTCGATGAAGATCTTCAAGTCGAACAGTTTGACGTATTCCTCAAACCCTTTCATTTGGAAAAAGGTGTATAGTCCTTCGAACATAACAACATCACCAACTTCGACAGGAACCCATTCTGGTTTTCTTGAGTGCGTCACATAGTCATAAATTGGTAATGACACCGGTTTCTTCGCTTTAATGTTTTTCAATGTGTCGACTATCAATTGCCAATCAAATGCATCGGGAGAGTCAAAATTGTATTCTGCGACATTGTCATGTTCTTCTTTAGTCAATGGGCGATAGAACGAATCTTGGGAAACTACTACAAATTTCTCGCCTTCAAGGGTTTTGGAGACTTGTGTACAAAACGTTGTTTTACCAGAAGCAGTCCCTCCCGCAACAGCTATTAATATACATGGTGTGTTATAGAAGTGATACTTCACTGTTTGCTCATTCTCTAATGAAGCCTTACTCATCCAGAATCTATTTTCTGAAAACAAAAAGAGGAAAAAAGATCTTCTTATTCCAAAACCCTATTTTTTTTGAGGTTTTCCTTTTTTGAGGTCTCGTGAAGAAAAGTTTTTCTTTTTTGATAATTTAAATTAACTGTATTTTAATAACATTAAGTTTAATTTATTATAATTTTAATTATTTTTTATTATTATCATAGTAACTTATCGTTTTTTAATAATTTGATTATGATATATTTCCTAAAAAATCAACTTTTTCTTCTTTTTTCTTATTTTGTTCGAGTTACTACAAATTATATTTTATGATTTCTTTACTATCTGCCTTAAGGTAGATTAACAACTATCTACCTTAAGTTGTTTATTATTAATTAATTGTGTTATAAAAAAGTTAACCTCTTTTTGTGGATAAAAACAAGACAATTTCTAATGTATTAATTTAATTTTATTAAATTAATACTATTTTTTGTCGAAGACAAATCAATTTGTTAGAATATCATTATAAATATAATAATAAATATTTATATGTATTATTAGTAATATATCTTTATATTATTATTAATATTAATAATATATCTTTATAAAGTATAGATAATATCCAAATATTAAATAACACACCAATAAATCATTCACTGTGTTTTACAATCTTCTGGGTTAGGTGGGGTTTTGAGTTTTTCGGCGTCGTAATGTTTCTTCTTACTTTCGTCTTCTTCAGAATGTTCATCAGAAGCTTGTGATAAGTGTTCAGAGTCACTTTCTTCTTCGTCTGCAGTTTTGTCCGTTGGAACCAATTTTTTGACTTCAACGTTCTTGCTTTCGGATTCGTCGTGACTCTCGGAAATTGGTGGGAAGTCTTGTTCGTCTTGTTGAATTGATTCGACACTCCCGTCGAACTTTCCTTTGAAAGAAAGAGACCCGTTAATGAAATTGAGTTCTCCGTCAAACTTTCCAGTCATTTTGAATGAAGTTGGGTTAGGCGCACAGCATTCCCCTTCTTCACTCAAATTGTCTAAATCCTCATCAGCAATGACTGGAATCGCTTTCTTACTCAAGTCACGTTTCATTTTGCAATTTTCAGTTCTTCCCTTTTTGAGGAAACCCTATTGAGTCGTATTCTTCTATGACAAAGTCTTTAATGTCAAGTTACACTTTCAAAGTGTTTGTGTATCAATGGGGTGAAACTTTAACACACAACCGTCTTGTCAATAAAAACACAGAGCCAATTAATGACTCAAAGTAACAGGTCTGATTTATAAAACAAATTTTACAACTTTAATGAAAAACAAACTAAAATATAACATTTGTCTTTTACTATAGGAAAGTTATTATAGTAATTGAAATTAAAAACATGAATGAAAAAGTGATAAATGTATACAGAGGAGATGAAGCCCATCGAATTTTAAATGACTTGAAAAAGTACTTTTGAAGGTTGGAAAGCACTTGGAGTTTTTTGTGGCCGATTAATTTTCAAGTAATTTTGTTGTTCGATGTTACACAGTAATTCAGCTGACCCGCAGTCGGGAGGGATATTAAAGACACTTATAAAGTTTTTGAGACCTTTCAAAACATCGGCTAACACTTTCTTGTTTTCATTCACCGAGAACGAGTTGCCGACGGGCGGGATGATTTTTGCCCAGGCATAGAACTGGATTGTCTTCGATGACATTTTCATCTTCTTTGTCGAAGTGACGAGTGTAAACCCTCTTTCGAGTAAAAACACTGCTAAAAAGTTGGAAAAGGCGGCTTCTCTATTTTTATTTCGCACTTTGGAATTTTGGTCTTCTTTAACTTCGGGAATCACCGAATTTTGCATTGAGCGTAACATGTTGTAATTCACAGTAACGTCTCGGACGCCTTTTCTCTTTGCTTCCTATTGATTAATACTTATAGTTTCTTTATTTATTCATTTATTAATATTGATAGTTATATTTATTAATGATATAATAGACACACCTTTATGATGTTATGCATTTCATTGTTGAATAGATAAGCTGTCTTTAAAAAATCGGGACGGGTATAAACCTTCCCTTCTATTTTAAATTCTTCACCAATAAATACTTTCTCGGCATAGTTGGACTCTTTGGTGGAATTAAATTTGATCTTGGCATCTTGATTCAGTGAAAAGAGAATAAGTGACGCAGTACTTAACGCTTTCTTTGTTCGTGACTCTGAGATCTTAGTGGTAAAGGTTTTGGTCGATTTCATTGTCATCGGTTGTATAAAGGATTTTGAGTTGAATATGTAAGGGCTCAGTCCTTATGAAATTTCGCATCGATACAATTTGGTTAATTAGAGAGAAATCCCTCTTTTATTGGGAGTTTAAAACCATTTTAATCATCGAAAAAAATAATTGTTTTCAGTTTTCATTCATTCAGAATTTAGGTAAAAATAACGAACATAAAGGATCGTTGGATATGTATTGTATAGTTTTATTACAATTAAGATACTATACGATAGTCCTTAATGAAAAAATAAAAAATACTTTGTAGTTTTTTCAAATTGATATCTATCTGTGACTAAATCCAGTTTTTAGCTCTTATTTTAATATAAAATATTATAATTATCTATTGACTACAAAAATCAACACAAATCATAAAAATAAAAAAGAAACCCATTCGAGAAGTTTTTTTTTTATCGGAAAAAAAATGTTTTGTTGTTTTTTCGAAGGAGATTAAAAAGGTTCTTGATTCTCTAAGGTTCCGATAAGTTTTTTTTTGTTTTCAAGTCGGATTCATTACAAGTTTTTTTAGCGTTCCATGCCATAGAACTTATTTGAATATTAGTGAATTATCAACAAAATTATCAGGAATTGTAACAAAATATAAAAAATATAAAAATAATAATTAAATCGTCATTTTTTTCATACTGGACTATTTATATAATTTATATTTATTATTATTATTATAATTTTTTTATTGAAATCAAATTGAATTCAATGGGAAT